CAATCGACGAATAACAGGATGGTCGTGATCGTGATATCACACATATAACAAATAATCTGTATTCAATAATCTAGAAAGGGTATATTGCTCTCCTTTTTTTCCCTAGTCCCCCAAATAGAAAACTTTTGACGGGTCACACCCAGTGTTATGCTCAGAGCTTACTCCTGGCTCTGCACTCAGGAATTACTCCTTGCGGTGCTGGGGGACCACATGGGATGCTGGGGATCGAACCTGGGTCGGCTGTGTGCAAGGCAAATGCCTTACCCACTGTGCTATCTCTCCAGTTTCCTTAAGTTAGAAATACTTTCGAGTCTATTCTATTTTAGTTTTGGTTTCATTTTAATTTTGGCACCCAGTGAAGGTCTGCCTTTAGGCACACAGATGCCAACTATCCCCAAAAGCTACACTTGTTTTGTGCAGGTCTGTCTGGGGTGCCCACACCATGCTCATGACAGAGGCAGGGGTTGTCCTGGAGGACAGCCTGGCTCCAATGGGGCTCCTAAGCCTTCACCATCATCACGGGAGCTGGAGGGTCCAAGCTGGTGACGGGCAGTGAGCACCTGGGGCTGCTAAGGGAACTGTGCTCGGTGCTCGCAGGAACCACCTGCCTCAGCTCCAGTATTTATAGCAGACAGGACTGATGCAGTGTCAGGTCCCTCCCGGAGGCTGTCTGCCCAGGACAGACAGCAGAGAGGGAAGCTATGGAGAAGTCAGATGTGTGACGCAGTGCCTGCTCCCTCCACCAGAGATGAGAGAAGGCTCACGCTCAAACGCTATCAAACGGACAGATGAAAGTGAAAAGGTTGTGCGTCTGTGTGCATATGTGTGCGTGTGTGTGCAATTGTGTGTATGTGTGCATGAGTGTGTGTGCGTGAGTGTGAGAGTGTGTGAGTTTGTGTGGTGCTGGGGTCCAACCTAGAGCCTCACACATGCAAGGCAAGTATGGGATGGGGCTTCTCTGAGCCCCATCTGCAGCCCTGCAAAGCTACAAGGTCCCAATACTGCCCACAATTCCTTTTGAGCAGACTAGACTACCGTGGTGCGTGGCAGCCCATGGCCTGTAGAGCTCCTGAGAACAGTTCAGGACATAAACAATCCTGGAGTCCCACCGAAGCCCTGGTAAGGAGGTGGCAGCCTGCGAGCACAGGTGGATTCATGGGAGGCGTTGCCCCCGATGGCCTGCTGGGGGCATGTGCACAGACGGCATCTGGGCTGTCAGGGGAGCCAGGGTGGGGGGTGGGTGAGCATCTTTCTCTCGTGAACGCTGGCTTCCTGCCAGCCTCCTGGGGCACAGCCTCAGATCCATCCCCCCTTATGTTACCCGGACATCTGTCTGGCGGTGCTGGATGAGGTACCTGAGGTCAGGAGACAGGCGCTGGGCCCCATCTCTCATCTTTAAGTGGTGCCTCCCCTCCCAAGGACAACAGGATTTACAGTCTCGCCAGGCTGCCCCATATATCAGGAAATGCGCATCTGGTCCTTCGAGAACCACCAGGAGTGATTCCTGAGTGCAGAGCCAGGAGAAACCCCTGAGCATCACCAGGTGTGACCCAAAAAGCCAAAATAAAATAAACTAGTAGGAAACAACCGAACGGGCTTTTTCAGAGTTCATGAGAGTGGGCGCCACCTCCCCAGGGGTGCAGGAGCAGTCTTGGGTATAAACTGGGACACTTTCTGCTTGTTTACTTACAGAAGGTAGATTTCCGGGGGGTGGGGGGGGCGCTGAGTGATTTTATTTTTCTGGACAGAAAGCAATGGACCAGGTAAGTCTGAGCCCCTCTGGAGACGGACTCAACTGAAACCAGGGTCACTCGCAGAGGGACGGAGTGGAGGTGGGGAGACTGCAGTGGGTCTGTGTGGGGTGGGCGGCACTGGGACATTGGTGGGAACAGTGACAGTCACGGATGAATGAGGTGTGACATTCACCCCCAGATTTCTCAGACTGCCAATTAGTGCTAAATCAGTGAAGAAAGAAAAGACATAGAGAAAAGTAAGAAAGGAGGGGCTAGCTGGGCACTCTAGGGGAAAGGGCAGCTCAGATAGAGAAGGGAGCACCAAATAAAGGGTGTTTGGAGGATCCTCCCAGGAGGGGAGATACATGTTGAAAGTAGACTATGGACTGAACATGATTGCCACTCAATGCCTCTTTTGCAGACCACAACACCCAAAAGGAGAGAGAGAACAAAAGGGAATGCCCTGCCACAGAGGCAGGGTGGGATGAGGGGGATGGGTGTGGGAGGGATACTGGGATCCATGGTGGTGGAAAATGGGCACTGATGGAGGGATGGGTACTTGATCATTGTATAATCGAAACCCAAGCACAAAAATTTGTAAATCTACAAGTGTACCTCATGGTGTTCCACTAATAAAAAAAATATGTTTAAAAAATAAAAAGAAAGGAGTGGCTGGAGAAACAGTACAGTGGGTAGGGCTTGTCTTGCACATGGCTGACCTGGGTTTGCTCCCTGGCACCCCTGAGTGCAGAGCCAGCAGCAAACCCTGAGCATTGCAGGATGTGGCACCCCCTAAAACCAAACCAAACCAAACCAAACCAAACCAAACCAAACCAAACCAAACCAGGCAGCCTACTTATCTATTGCATGGTCATGATTTTAGCCAAACAGTAGCACTGTAGCACTGTCCTCCCATTGTTCATCTGTTTGCTCGAGCAGGCACCAGTAACGTCTCCATTGTGAGACTTGTTGTTACTGTTTTTGGCCTATCGAATATGCCATGGGGAGCTTGGCAGGCTCTGCTGAGCGGACGGAATACTCTCGCTACTTTCTGGGCTCTCCAAGAGGGATGGAGGAATTGAACCCAGGTTGGCCACGTGCCCTACCTGCTGTGCTATCACTCCAGCCAAACAGTAAAAAACCATATTCATTACCTTAAAAAATGATTAAGAAGTCACTTGAAGGAGAATGATAAGGAACATTACGGAAGATTGGGAAGCCCATGGGTGATGAGGAACTCTGGACAGGCTCAGGGAAGGTTGGGAGCTCCACCCCGCTGCCGAGCAGCTGAGCCCCAGGGCTTCCAGCTCCACCCGATGCTGTGTGCACAGAACTGCCTGCCTGCACGGGCCAGGAGCTGAAGGATCCAGGCTTGAGTCTCAGCAGCACAGGTTGGTCAGACGGAGACAAAATGCCTTTGATCATTGCACACCCCTCTGAGCACACGCGGCTCAAGGGTTCAGCGGGAGGCAACCAGCCGCCAGGATTCTCGCTAGAGGCCAGAGAGCAGGAGAGAGGAAGGTGGGAACCTGGATCCTGGAGAAGCAGCGAGACCCCAGGACCGGCGTCCAGGCCACGCCTAAGTTTCCGAGGGCTCTGGGGAACTAATATCTGGGCCAAAGCAAAGAAACAGGCTCTTCCCAGCACCCCGTTGGTTTAAATACAGACAGGTCATAATTCTTGCCCAAAGTGAGACACACGGTATGAACCATATTGTACTTGTTTTGTCTGTAAATGTGGCACACACAGCATTCCTCACTCATCATGCGGACAAAAATAAAGCTATAATGCTCACGTAAAAATATATTCAATGGGCCAGAGTGATCGCACGTATCATGGGTAGGGTGCTTGCCCTGCACACAGCTCACCAGGGCTTGATTCCTGACACCCCATGTTCCCTTCAGCCTCACCAGGAGAGATCTCAGTACAGAGCCAGGAATAAGCCTTGAGCTCTGTCAGATATATCTCCAACACACACACACACACACACACACACACACACACGCACACGCACGCACGCATGCACACACGCACACACGCACGCATGCACGCACTCATGCACACACGCACACACGCATGCACGCAGTTTTTTCAGGGTGTTTGGGCCATACCAGGCATTGCTCAGGGTTACTCCTGACTCTGCATTCAGGAGTTACTTCTGGCAGGCTTGGGGGACCTTAAGGAATGCTGGAGATCGAATTTGGGTTGGATGTGTACAAGGCAAGCAACCCTACCTGCTGTACTGTCACTCTGGTTCCATATATTAATGAGGGGCTGTCCTTAGGGAGAAGGTCATTCTGGAATGGGGATAAAGGGAAGAGGAGGACAAGAGAACAGGAGAGAAAACGACTTTCCACTTTACCCTTTTGGATCAAATTTGCTTTGTGTAATATAAGTTCTCAGTAACCCAAAAGTCAGAAAACATTACATTTAGTGGCAGTATTTTATTCCATACATATTCCATTATGTATAAAATATTGAAAGATCCATTATCCTAGCAGAAACTAAAAATCTCCAATCTCTAGCATTAAAAAGGGAAAAAGTTGTGAGTGGATGTGGACATAGTAAGAATAAAACAAAGCTTAAGTGGCTGAGCTGAAGAAATAGATGGTCACTTTTATCACATTCTTTTTTTGGTGGGCACACCTAGTGATATCCAGGGGTTATTCCTTGCTCTGCACTCAGGAATGACTCCCAGTGATGCTCGGGGGACCATATGGGATCGAACCCAGGTTGTCCAAACTTAAGATGAATGCCCTGCCCACTCCAGCCCCCATATCTGCACTCTATTAAATACTGATGATGAGATCTATGGTCAAGACTTCCTCTTATTTGTGGGGGAGGATTTGGGTCACACCCTGGAGTGCTCGGGAGCTCAGGAGTGACCCCTAGCAGTGCTGGGGGGCCATATGCAGTGCTGGGGATCTAACCTAGGAGTGTCGCGTGCATGCCAGGTGCCTTACCACTGTACTTTCTCCTTATTTTACACTTTGCCTGGGTCACGCACCATTCTAAGTCTTTGAATACTCTTCCAAGTATTGCTGTGATATCGTGAGTCTCAGGGGCATTGGAACAAACACAATTTCATACACGGAGATCTCTGAGAAACCGTGCACGCAGACCACCAGAAGAATGACATACACAGCCAGTCCCAAAGATGCTCTGCCACACCGTGGACAACCCAACTTGCAGGCAGGAGGCCCCAGGCCCTACATCGGCTCAACCATCTGCTCGGGCCCGTAGCAACATTTTACTTCTAGAACTTACCAAGGGTGTGTCTTTTCCTCCCACGATGCTGAGGCCAAGCCCGGACCGTCCCTTGGATATTTCTATAATCATTTCCTGGCCGGGGACAATGGGACACGTGGCAGGGTCCACGGATAGAGGAGCCTGGAAGCCACCTGGGGAAGGCAGGAATACAGATGAGTCATGGGGGGGTGTCCTACGTGTGTCAATCACCCCCCCTTCCAGTTGTCGAGGAGGAGAGAGAAGATGAGGTCACCACTGACTGCCCACACCTGGGGTTAAACAGGACACTCTGGTAGCATTGTGGAGACAGAATCAGTAAAGCAGGGCTGGAGAGAGAGGACAGAGGGGTAGGTTGGAGGGTAGTATACTTGTCTTGTACACAGCCAACCTGGGTTCGATCCCTGTCACCCTATATAGTCCTCTGAGTCTCTCCAGGAATGATTCCTAAATACAGAACCCTCGACGCAGCCCCGAGACAAAACAAAACAAGACATCAGTACTGTATCTCCCTTGCCCAAGCATGGACTATGAAATCCTTGCAAAAAAATTTGGGGGTATTGGTGGTGATTTGGGACCACACCCAGAGGTTCTCTGGGTCTATTCCTGGCTCTGTGCTTGGAAGTGACCCCTGGTAGTTCTTGGGGGACCCTAGGTGATCCCAGGATTCAAACCAGAGTTGGTAGGATGCAAGGCATGTTCCTTAACACCGGTACTATATCTCTGGCCTGAAATTGTTGAAATCTTAAACTACCCCAGTGAAAACTGGCCTGGAAGCCTTTAAGATGATTAAGTACCTGCAGGTTTGGGTTATAATGAGAGGAAAGACTGCTAAGACAGAAGATTGTGAGTTAGAGTTATAAAATGCTAATGAATAGTGTGCTTAAGTGCTTTCAATGAGGGCATCTGATGTGAATTGAACTAAAGGATCTAATCAATACAACATGATGTAACCGAAAATAATTAACCTAAAAATTATCTCTAAAAATATAGCACTGTAGCACTGTCCTCCCGCTGTTCTTCAATTTGCTTGAGCGAGCACCAGTAGTGTCTCCATTGTGAGACTTGTTGTGACTGTTTTTGGCATATCGAATACGCCACAGGGAGCTTACCAGACTCTGCCATGCGGGCAGGGCTCTCCGAGAGGGACAGAGGAATTGAACCCAGGTTGGCTGCGTGCAAGGCAAACGCCCTACCCGCTGTGTTATCACTCCAGCCCATACCAAATGACAAAATATTAGTATTCAATGGGTGCTTAAATGGATTACTAGCTAAGGAAAGGAGAAAGCAATGTGCCCTTAGATGAAATCCCACCCTTGAGCAGATCTTCTAATAACCTAGAGTGCTGAACCCCCCAGATAAGATTTTGTCCTTGCATTAATCTAGAACTTCCACCGATGGACTTTACATCTGTTTACTGTTATGCTGATGTTCAACCACATCTATACATACGCCCATATTTCACAATTTCTGATTTCTGTTTTTTTTTTCTTCTTTTTTGGGTTATACCCGGTGATGCACAGGGGTTACTCCTGACTTTGTGCTCAGAAATTACTCCTGGCAGTGCTTGGGGGACCATATGGGATGCTGGGAATTGAACCTGGGGTCGGCCACATGCAAAGCAAACACCCTTCCCGCTGTGCTATTGCTCTAGCCCTGATTTCTGATTTCTATGTAACTACACTCTAAGAAGAAAAACATGTCACTGATTATCAACCATCCATGGTCCTGTTCCTTTGTCTGTTGCTGTCAGCCGGTTGGGGGAACAGTTCTTGGCCACCGAATGCAACCAGTTTGAATTTAAGTAGAGATATTCAAGAGTGAGGGATTCTCACTATCTACCTTGTTTTGGAGGTCACATCTAGTGATGTTCAGGGCTGATCTCTCACTCTGTACTCAGGACCACTCCTGGTGGGGCTCGGGGGAGCATATGGGGTGCTGGGGATCTAAGCCAGGTTGGCTATGTGCAAGTCAAACTCCCACCATCTACCTTTACCTGAAACTCAGACCACATGAATGAGTCACTTAGATAAATGTCACTTGAGAGAGAAAGAACTAGCAAGCAAGCAAAGCAAAACATTTCCTAGCATAAAGATTTTTAGGGTGGCACACTAATGTACCATCACAAATGTAACTTTCTGGAAAAGGGACATTCCAAAGACCTGAGTGGGTGCCCCTGGAGGGCCGGGGGCAATACATAGTAAAAGCAGGAAGGTTATAAGTACTCTGCTCAAGAATTAATTGTTGGTTCCAGAAGCAGAAAGTCTGCTAAAAGATTTATTGCTGTTTGGTAAAGGTTTACATTCTGGGTTTGTTTTGTTTTTAGGCCACACCCAGCAGGTCTCAGGGGTTACCTCTGGCTCTGTGCTCAGGGCTCACTCCTGGTGGTGTCCAGGGGACCTAACAGGATGCCAGGGATTGAAGCAGGGTCAGTCATGTGCAAGAAAAAAATAGTGCCTGAACCCCTGTGCTATCTCTCTGCCCTGAAAGGCTTAGTTCTGAGGCAGGGGAACCAGTGTGAAGGGCTGAAGCACACGTGTAGCATGCACAGGACCTGGGTTCCATCCCCAGCACTGCATGTTTCCCCAGCACGGTTGTGGGTATGTGCCCAGGAACTCCCAGGGACCCCAGGGAAGAAGCCTCAAACAAATATATGTAAGCAAGCAAACAACAAAAAGGATTACTTAAAACAAATCAGTTTGGGGCTAGAGAGGTGCTTGTCTGGGCATGTAGCTGACCCGAGTGTAGTTGGATGTAGTGCGAAATTGAGGCAAAAAAGAAAAATCATAGTTTCAGGGACAAGAGATAATAGCTCAGTGGTAGAGCAAGGGTCTCGCATGTATGAAGTCTTGGATTTGATCTCTTACACCACCCACAAACAAACCAACCAACAAACAAGTAAATCGCTGACTGATTGGGTTAACCTAAAAACCAGAGGCGAGGGGTGGGATAAACAGGCTAAAATTGGCTGTCCTCCCGTTGTTCATTGATTTGCTCGAGTGGGCCCAGTTACGTCTCCATTTTGAGACTTGCTGTTACTGTGTTTCGCACATATCGAATACGTCACGGGGAGCTTGCCAGGCTTTGCCATGTGGGTGAGATACCCTCAGTAGCTTGCCGGGCTCTCCGAGAGGGGTGGAGAAATCAAACGTGGCTGGGTCGGGCTGGCTGTGCGCAAGGCAAACGCCTTACCGCTGTGCTATCCCTCCAGCCCAAAATTGGCTAGGATGCTTAATAACAGTCATTTGTTGAGTGCATGGGCTGGAGCGATAGCACAGCGGGTAGGGCGTTTGCCTTGCAGGTGGCCAACATGGCCAACCCGAGTTCCATTCCTCCGCCCCTCTCGGAGAGCCCAGTAAGCTACTGAGAGTATCTCGCCCGCACAGCAAAGCCTGGCAAGCTACCCGTGACGTATTCCATATGCCAAACACAGTAACAATTGTCACAATGGAGACGTTACTGGGCCCGCTCGAGCAAATCGATGAACAACGGGAGGACAGTGACAGTGACAGTGACAGCTGAGTGCATACTCCGTTACTGGAGTCCATGCATTTTCCAGATGACTGTAAAATTGAAACGTTTCAAATGTTAGTTTCAGGAGCGTCTTATGCAAACAACTACCCCCCTGAAGACATCCTCTTCGCCGAGGGCTAAGCAGGACCCTCCCTGGTACTGGTTCTTAAGGTGATGTTAGTGAAGGGCTGATAGCACAGGGTGCCACCTGTTGGCGACTGCAGCTACAGCACAAAGGTCAAGTGATTTGCTTACGGCAGACAAGATCTGCTGACCCTGTGGATTTTCAAAAGGTTGAGGAAAGAAGAAAAAAAATCAGAAGAAACGTTTTATTTCCAGGCAGGTGAAGGTTTCACTTAGAATGGCTTCTGCTTCAGATAATTCATGCTCTGAAATTCCAAAAAGTCCATTTTTTTTTTTTGGGTGCAGCTGGGATGCTGGGAATTAGCACAAGGTCTCAGAGCCTAATGTGCTTTTAAACTGTTGCTATAAGGCACACGTTCTCTATCGAGTGCGAAGGGACTATGTCTCAGGGGCACATAAACTGGAATTTACACGTCGAGGCCAAGGGACATGGCGAATCAGAACATCAGAACCTCATTTGCTGGCTTTCCTCCCAAGTCAGTCTGAGCCTTAACTCTAAAAAAAATAAAGTTCTTTGTTTTTCTTCCTGGTTTTTGGGTCATACCTGCCAATGCTCAGGGTTTACTTCTGGCTCTGTGCTTAGGGATCACTCCTGGTAGAGGTTCGGGGACCATATGGGATGTCAGAGACCAAACCAGGTGGCATACAAGGTAAGCACCTTAACCTCTGTACTATCGCTCTGGCCCCAAGTTCTACTTCTTATAATACAAAATATGAAATCATATAAAATTCATATCTGTTGTTGCTAAATAAAGCCATGCTTGAGTGCATATGCACGTGTGCGTGCGCGTGCACGCGCACACACACACACACACACACACACACGGGTTCATATCCCTATGACCCATGTCTGTAGTCATGCTTTAGACAGCCGTGCCACTGAGTGGCTGCAGCAGATGGATCATGCATCCTCAGTGTCTCCTCTCTGGCTCTTCCCAGGAAACACTGGCCCTTGCTTGGTAGGACACAGGGGCCCAGGCTGTGGGTGGCCCTGCTCTGACTCGTCACCACCAAGTCATGGTGTCAGGAGTGTCCAGGACATCAGGCCTCTTTCCTCTTGGGGAGAGGACGCAGGGAGCATGTAGGGGAACTCAGCCCAGGGGTGGTCACTGTCAATAGTCCTATGATGGTTAGCTCCTTCCGGGTGGAATGTGCTAATCTAATGGCCTCTTGCCTAAGAGTGAACATCTTAGTGACCACATCAATGATGCTGGGAGAGAGGGGGTGTTTCATAGTTGAAGACTGAGATCCCTGGTGTGGCCTGCCACCCCCTCTCCGCCCCTTGGCACTGCACCGCTGGGTGTGGCCATGCTGAAAAATGCCACAGGCTGGTGGGGATGTGGCTCAGTGAGGAGTTCATGGCTCACATGTGTGAGGCCCCGAATTCAATCCCTGCCCCGCCCCCCGCCCTCCCACATGTATGTATCAGAATATGAGGTTATGAACTTGATTTCTCTCCAGGTCTTTCTGGAAGGGTGGGGGGAGATTGATCAGTGGTGGGGGCCACCAGGGATATACCTGGCAGTACTGGGAGGCCGTGTGGTTTGGGGAATTGAACCTGTGCTGTGTGCTCACCAAACACGTGCTCCAGCTCTCGGAGCACCTCCTGGACCCCGAGATTGTCCAGATCGTCTTGCAGTGTTAGGTATTTTACACCTCATTTTCCACTGATGTACAATAAAAACACGTACAACCGTGGCACCATTGTATGGATTTTTTTTAAAGTGAATTCTTTGTTTAGAAATGACTCTTCTAGTCTCCTGAAGGGGAAGACAGAAGAGATCTGGTTGGAGGCCGTGGAGATGGCGTTTCATTTCTGTGTTAGTCTCGGGTGGGTTTCTCTCCAGGAGTTCAGCCCAAAGTCTCGTTCTTTTCAACTTTCCCAGAAAGGTTTGACAAACAGATGAGCAAATGAATGAAAATTTCCCGGATTTAATGGTGGGACAATTAATTTCCATGACTGAGGTATAAATATGTGATATCCAGTAACTTATCAGAGCCCTACACTGGGATCAGCCAATGATCAATACAGAGTGGTTGTTTTGGGGCCACACTCACTGCTGCTCAGGGGCCACTCCTGGCTCAGTGCGTGGGGAGTCTCTCTTGGCAGAACTTCGGAGACCACGTGGTGCCAGGGATAAAATCCAGGTCTGAACTCCAGCCCACTGAGGTCTCTCCAGTCCCAGAATCAGCCAACAGTTTTGGCAAAAGGGTAAACAGTAAATATTTTGGTCCTTACAGTATGAGTGGTCTCTATGACAACCATCTAACATCTGTCACAGACTGGAGAGATAGTCACAGAACATGCTAGGAGTGACCCTGAGTACAGAGCTAGGAGTAGCTCTTGAAAACCACCAGGAGTTAAAAACAAAAACAAAAACAAAAAAAGAAAAAAGGAAAAGGTAAAAATAAGCATATGCATATGCTCCAGCAGCCGAAGACCTCCAGAACCAGCCACCACCATGCTGAGACCACTCTCCGTACACATGAAGGTACCGGCAGAGGAACAAAGGCACGCGGATCCCGGGGCTGAGATCTCCAAGCCTACTTGGATCGGGGCTGAGCATCCTCCACCCAGATCTTCCAAATTCCAGTAGGCGGGGGTCACACCCACCAACTGGCCCCCTGGCGCCGTGTAATCCCATCAACAGCCAAGACCCAGAGATTATAAAACCCAGCTCCCGGAAGCGACATCTTATCATCTCATTCCTACTTTGGACAAACTGGCAGGCTACCGAATGTAACCTGCCCACACGGCAGGGTCTGGCAAACTCCCCGTGGCGTACCCAATATGCCAAATACCAGTAATAATGATGGGTCTCATTCTCCTAACCCTGAAAGAGCCTTGAATATGGCACTTTTTAAAAAAATCTCAGGGCTAGGACGAAGGAGACGTTACTGGGGCCTGCTCGAGGCAATCGACGAACAACAGGATGGTTGTGATTGTGACTGTGATGCAATATGGAAGCCAGTGAGTATTCTGATCAAATTTTATTAATGGACACTGAAATTTGTATTTCATAAGTTTCTGATTTTGTTCAGCCTCTGAAAAATGTGAAAACAGTTTTGAGCTTGCAGATGCCACAAAAACAGCTTTGGGGGGAGCTGGAGAAATAGTACAGCAGGTCAGGCGCTTGCCTTGCAAGTGTTCAAGGGGCTGCAACCCTCAGCACTTCATAGGGTTCCCCAAATCCACCAGGAGTGATCAGTGAGCACGGAGCCAGGAGTATACCTTGAGCACTGCCAGGTGTGATATCCCCCCTCCAAAAACAACAACAACAACAAAAACACAAACCCAGCTTCTGGGCTAATATTTACCCCAGGATCTACAGCTTACCGATCACATTGAGCAAGAATTAAAGTGGAAACCCAGTGGTTTCTAATAAAAGCTTCCTGCTCATTTTTCTATAAGTTAATATTTATGGGAATGGAGGTAAAAGACAATTACCATAGGATTCTGCTAAGATTGCTCAGAGGGCTGCTTTGCCTTCAGAAACCCGGTGTTTTAAGTTCTTTAAAAAAAAAAAAAAGGCAAAACAAAAAACCAACCTGACTCGCATGAAAGAAAAGCGGAAAAACTCATTATTCACTTTGAAGCTCTCTTTTCAATTGCTAGTCAGCATAATTCAAGCCAGGAATTCAGAAAGGGAACGTAAATACCAATTTCTCTGAACACTGAAAATGAAATCCTCAAATAGCTTCTATCAACATAGGCAAAGCTAACAATTCAGTTTAATAAGGTTCTGAAGAGTGGGGACTCACAGTTGGTGAGGGATTTGTAAGCCTCAGCTCGAACAGTATTTCCTGAGGGTCTCTTTTGGTCTAATACTTTTCTTTTCCAATAGCGATAGGCCAGACTGGCCTTTCATAAGACTGACCTGGCATCCTGCATGGTCTCCCAAACCTCGAGGAGTGATCCCTGAGAGCAGAGTCAGGAGTAAGTCCTAAGCACGGCCAGTTATAATTTCCCCAAAACCACTCCCCTCGAAAACAACAACAAACAAAACAAAACAAAACCAATAGGCTATGACAGAGGTGAGGAGAACAGTGTAGAAAATCAGTGGCTTGCCCGGGTCCCCAAGCACAGAGCTGAGGAAGGGTACAAGGTCTGAACTCCTGGGGCCCGGACCCTACTTGTCTCAGGGTTGATGACCCAGTGCAGCTGGGCTCAGAGGAAGAACCGTACCATAGCTGGGGACGTCTGCATCTGGTGATGGGAAGGATGGAGTTGGCGCTAAGGGTATCTCTTGCAAACTGAAGGAGGCCTTCGCAGAACACTTTTGCTGTTTCATCTGACTGACAGCCTGCAAAAAGAAGGAGAATTAGATCAACATTCAAGAGGAGAAAGGGAGCAAGAGAACATGCTACGATTGGTGTCTCGCTACAGAAGTGATGATGCAGTCCAGTGATGTCCTGGAGAAATTAGAATGGACAGGTGGCAAGAGGAAGGAGGCCATGATTTGGGCCCTGGTCCCCATGCTTCTTTACTAAACATCTAAGATGCTTCAGGGGAGGATGGATCACAGGAGGAAAGATGCAGATGTGCCGGAGAGATGGTGGTTCATTGTCCAGAATTTCCAGGACAAGAATTTGGACCGTTTCTATTCATCCTGATGAAATTGAGGTGAAGTCCAAACATCTGTGCTGTGGCCAATGACACCGACCTATGCTGCTGATACTCTGAGCACACAACACTGCCCATCTCTTCTGTCACTCTACCCAGAGATGCTTTGGGTGGGTGGATTGAGTATTTTGAGGGGCAGGAGCAGACGCTACACAGCCTACTACACACCAGAAGCAGGCATTGCCTTTTACTTGGCCAACACTCTTCCACTCTTCACCATCGGTTTCCGGTACTGGAACCCGGCAGGGCTTTGGTGGAATGTTTTGCAAATGACTGAGTGAAAATGAGTTGGGGGAAGACATGGATGCTGTAGAGGAGGAGATGGATTTACAATTCAGCAAGGACCTTGGCTGGGCGAGCTTTGGAAAATGAACTTGTCATTTGGGATGTGTGTGACGGATACCTCCGATGAATATTAGAACCAGAAAAATAAAGGAAAAAAATAGTTCCCCCACCCCCAATCCCAAAGAATATCATGCTTCATATCAGGCAGTTATGAAAGATAGGTAGTAGCCTGACCTGCCTTCTGGATCTGTAGTTAGCCAGGGAACCCAGGCCCAGCTGGAAGATTCTGGTGGAGGCAGCGAGGCACCGGGCTGGCCCTGGAGTCTAGAAACAGGATCAAGGTAACTGCTCTAGAAAAACGGCACCTCGAGATTTGAGGAGGGTTGGACTTCACAAGGTGCGGTGCCACATGCAACCACGTGACCAAACTCCACCCTCTCTCCCTCTCCCTGCTCACTGAGTAGCTATACTGTGCTTTCTGGCTCCCCAAAACACTTTCCACCCGTGGATTCATTTTAATTGTGAGAACTGCCTTGAGAGCTAGACAACACCCTTCTCACCGAGAAAGAAATCAAGGCCCAAATGTCAAGTGACGTATTTGAAATCACACGGCTAATGAGAGGAAGAGGAGGCCCTAAAAGCTAGTGATTGAAGAATGCTCCATGTGTTTAAGTGGTTGTCAAACTGCTGCTAGCACTGATTCTCAGGTGCTCATTTTTTCCCCCTTGGGATTTTTGTATCGCTATCATTTTATAATGACTGCAGACTTATCGATGAAGCCATAAAATCACAGAGATAGAGAGACAGTGCAGGAAGTAAGGCACTTGCCTTGTAGGTGGCCAACCCCAGTTCAAATCCTTGTGCCACATATGGTGCCCTGAGCACTGCCAAGGATTAGTCATGAGCATAGAGGCAGTGATATTCTCTGAGCAACACCAAGTGTGTACACCCTCCCCGGCCAAAATAAACTTATTCAAGGGCAGAAAATGTAGCTCAAAGGGCTGGAGCACCACTGTATGCTCTGTTGGGGGGGCGTGCTTTGGGTTTACTCCCTAGCACTACATGATTCCCCAAGCACTGCTAGGAGTAGCCCCCCAAATCTCTGTGTATGACCCTGCCTCCAAAATGATTTATTCAAAACACATGATATTTAAAAAAGAGAAAGAGATCATTCAAAAGATGGTCAAAATAAAGGGCGTTGCCACTGGAAAACAGAACAGTAGGACCGTCAAGATATCTAATGTTTCTAGAAATCACATTTCTAGGCTGCCTGGAAGTTACCTTTGTCCACAGACAGACTAAATCCAGGTCTTTGGCTAAAAACAGACAGGAACTGGTCAGGTCATTCTCTGAAGACCCTCCTTTCTCCCTAACTGGAATACCAACAGGATAGTAATAGTTGCAGCAGCTGTTTTAGCCCAAAAGCAGGGGGTTGGGACGACAACATTTGGAGGAGAACAGAGGAACCAAATGGCGACAGTACAGTAATCAGAGAGGCGGTCCATGGCTCCAGGACACTGGAGATAGCATATTGTTAATCTGATCACACCCAGACGGTGATGTTAAAGTGACACTTCTGGCAGCAACTGAACCTAATCTTAATTTGTACCTCGCTTCCGTTCAATTCTCATTTTGTCTTCTCTCGGAGACAGAATGCCAATAACAAAGCTGAATGCCAGCGGCAGTGTTGTCTTATGGACAAATCATGTGAGTTTGAAAACAGGAAAGCACAGAAGTACAAAAACATTGCAATGAATTTCACAATAGCAGAAAATGCTGTTCATCCTCACGGTGTGGGTCCACGGAGTATCCTGTGTCATAGAGCACACTGGGTTCCCAGAAGATGTTGAACTGAGAGGCAATTAGAACATGAGGAATGGGGCCAGAGTAATAGTACAGTGGGCCCACACTGTTGGCTTTGCACTCAGCCGACCTGGGTTTGAGCCCCAGCATCCCGTATGGTCCCCCAGCATGGCCAGGAGTAATTCCTAAGTGCAGAGCCAGGAGTAACCCCTGAGCACTGCTGGGTGTGACCAGAAAGAAAAGAAAAAAAACCCCCAAAAAACAAAAACTAAAACCCTCTAGAAATAGCTGTGTACATGTAAATGCAATTGCGTTCTCTCTCTCTCTCTCTCTCTCTCTCTCTCTCTCTCTCTCTGCAGTGCTGGAGACCAAACCCTGGCCTCACATATAATAATGGAAGTTTCTACTGAGGCAGACCTCTGATTGGTGGGGGTGATGATAAATGTTCATTTCCATGACCAGAGCAGAGCCCTGGCAGCCGAAGACCTCCACAACCAGCCACAACCATGCAGGTCCCGGGGCTGAGATCTCCAAGCCTGCTTGGATCGGGGCTGAGCATCCTCCACCCAGATCCTCCATCTTCCAGTAGGCAGGGGTCACACCCACCATCTGCCTCCGGTGCCAGGTAATCCCATCAATGGCCAAGACCCATAGACTATAAAACCCAGCTCCCGGAAGACATCTTATTATCTTGTTCTTACTTTGGACAACCTGGCAGGCTATGGAATGTAACCTGCCCACACGGCAGAATCTGGCAAACTCCCCGTGGCGTACCCAATATGCCAAATACCAGTAACAATGATGGGTCTCATTCTTCTAACCCTGAAAGAGCCTTGATGGCACTTTTTAAAATCTCAGGGCTAGGACGAAGGAGACGCTACTGGTGCCTGCTGGAGGCAATCAACAAACAACAGGATGATCGTGATCATGATCCCTAGCCACAGAACCAAGCTTTTCCACACAAGGATTTGAAAGTTTGGATTTGCCATTGGATGTTATTCTATTAGAATGAAGAGTTGGAAAGTCTTTTCTAAGTCTTCCAACTCAACAGAGGCTCCTGACCCTGTCTTATTTTACTTGTCTAATTTTTGCTTTTCTTTGAGGCCACATCCAATATGCACAGGGGTTATTCCTGGCGGGGCTCATGTGACCCTGTCTTCTTAACAATATCTTTTTTTTTTTTTTGCTTTTTGGGTCACACCCGGCTATGTACAGGGGTCAATCCTGGCTCTGCACTCAGGTATTACCCCTTGTGGTGCTCGGGGGACCATATGGGATGCTGGGAATCAAACCCGGGTTGGGATGCATGCAAGGCAAACGGCCTACCTGCTGTGCTACTGCCCCAGCCTCAGCACTGTCTTCTTAATCGGAGCTATAAGGAAGCAGTTTATAGATTCTGGGACCTCTCTCCTAGGCCAAATAAATTGGCATGAAGGTGTGTGAAGTCCAAGGAAGGCTTGTATGTGTTTGTGTGATCTTACATACTGCTTAAAATTAAACCATGGATCCTTAAACCAGGGGAAACGGATTTCTAGGAGACCCACAGGGAGAATTCTGGGGACTATAAAAACCTCTGTGGGTATATATAAGTTACAGTAATCAGTGTTCCTGAGAAAGATTTTATATTCTATCAGCTCTTTAGGCTGGAATTTTTTTTTAAATCACTACTGAAAGGAAGCTTTCTTGCTAAGTCTGTTACCGCCAATTAGTACTATGGCCATAGGTAAATCAATGAACCCATCTGTAAATCAGCAGCAATACCCCTGCCTCTTATAAGGTTTTCATGAAGAACAAAGAGAGAAATGCAGAGGCTGGGGATGGGGTGAGGTGGTAGAGTATTTGCTTTACTTCTGGAGGCCCTGACGTTCCAATCTTTCACTAAAACAGACAATTCCCCTCACCTTCCACCATAAAACAAACTAAAAACCACAACCCGCTCAACCTATAATAATAAAGAGATAATAAAAAATAAATTTGAAAAGATAGAGAAAAGTACATAATAAACCTTCCACAACTGGGAACCCCGGAGGACTTTAATACTAGCTATTTCTGGTTTGTTTTTGTCATTGGCACTACTGCCCCAGCCCCAGGACTTCGCTATCTACAGGGTTCTCCTTTGGGAACAGTGACTCAAAGCCTTTTGTGGCACTGCCAAAGAGAAGGGACCCTGTGTCTCAGCTGTATCGGCTTCGTCTGAGGAACTTCCTGGGCGGATGAGCTGCTCCAAAATGGAACAGCCTTCTTTGCGGGTATGGAATTTTCCATCTTAAAAGGTTTCGATCACAAGCTGGCCAACGAATCTGTTACTATAGTTCCTAAGGATAGAGACCAGGGATATGTCTCAAGGTGCATGTGCTTTGCATGCAGGAAGTCTGGGTTCTCTCCCTGGAACCACAGGGTCCCCCAAACACCAAACCGGGAGGAGCCCTGAACACCACAGGGTGTGGCCCCTAAACCAAGAAGTAATAAAGGACATTTAAAAAAAAACCCACAATATTAAAACCCCACAATATTAAAACCCCACTCCAGTTAGTATTAGGGGCTGGAGTGATAGTAGAGCAGGTATGTTGCTTGCCTTGTATAGTCAACCCGGGTTTGATCCCTGACATACCCAATGATGCCCTGAGCCCTCCAGGAGTGATGCCTGAATAAAGAGGCAGGAGAATACCCTGGGCACAGCTGGGTGTGGCTCAAAAAAAAAAATATAGTGAAATTCTCTTTTTGGGGGGGTTGGGAGGTAGAAGGTGGACACACCCACAAAGTGCTCAGGAGCTACTCCTGGCTCTGTGTTCATGGGGTGATGGACGATGGGTATTTCCATCCCTGTGCACAGAAGCAGCAATTCGGTCCTGGGCTGACTTCTTCATCACCTGCCGCCATCTCCTGAAGGGCCTGAGGTCACTGCAGCTGCCTCCTTTGCTTTGGGACAGCATGCATCACGCACCCCTCCTGAGAGAGCAACCCCTCAAGGGTGAGCTACATACATGGTCCGCTGGGCACTTTGGTGCCCTCTGTGGCTCGGCCAGCATGCCTTGTCCTGTCACCGGGGACGTGTCCTCCTGAAACACACAAGAGGCAGTCATTAGTGGCACTGTGTGTGTTTGTGTGTGTGTGTGTGTGCACACACACTTTCCAACACTTATTCACTATAGAGCCCCATGCGCACCACTCAGCAAGAGTCAGTTGGCTCAACAAATGGACAATGAGAGTGGCACAGAAGTCCTATCCCTTGGTCTAGACTACCTCTCAGAAACAAGCTCAAACTTGTCATTTCCCACTGTTGATGGTACTGGCCAGTGAACCCTGGGACTCGCATGTGCAAAGTAATCACGGCACTGTGGACCTAGGAGGTACACCTCTAACATCAAGGTCAACAAGCAAGCAATCCCTCTAAAGGCAAAATGCCAAATACCTCCGGCGGGGACCAAAACGGGGTCAGTTCCATCAAGCAAGGCCAATGCCCGGAGTCTGGTCCCCAGCTACTTTGTTTGACCTTTCTAGATTTCTCAGGTTTTTGGTTTTGTTTTGCTTTTGGGCCACACCTGGCTGTGCTCAGGACTTACTCCTGGCTCCGTGCTCAGGGATCACACCTGGTTTGACCACATGTAAGACGAACGTTCCTCCCACTGTCCTATTGCTCTGACCTCTAGATTTGTCAGGTCTGAGCCCATCAGACACACCTTCTGTGTATGGGGAGCACATCAAGGCAGTGTGGAGAACCTGTACCCCAGCCCTTGAGTCTCTCTCCATTACCTTTCAGATATTCTTTGATACTCATTTCAGCTAGATAAATTCCCCCTCTCTCACACCAGTAATCCCGACACCTGTAATTATGTTGAATATTAAATCCTTTCAGGGTTCAAATTCTAATATTAGAAATATATTTCTCCTAAGATATGCCAGTAGGGACAAAAAAGAGTTTCCACACAGCCTTTGCCATTCAAACGCTTCACAACTAATCTCTGCAGAGACAACCAAGCAGACAGAAATTGCCAGGTACACCGGTTTTGAGGCTGAAAACTCTGAAGTCTTCTCAGAGTAGGGGATGGAAGCCTCCCCCAACCCCCTCTGCCTCTAGTACTAGAAGCCCAGCAGCCGCACCCACATCCCACAGCTGTTTTTTCAAAAAAGTTCCCCCCTCAAAAGAAAAAAACACCAGTTTCACAGTTTTCCAACTGATCTCGGAAGAGATGCCAAGACAACGCAACTCACAGATACACTGGTCTAAGGCTGAAAACTCTGGGACCCCCTTGAGGGGAGCAGGCTGAGGATGGACCCGGTTCTACAGATCCTGGAGCACGCGCTCGTGCAAGGCACCTCCAAATCCCATAATACTGACAGCCCAGCAGAAGCACAACAAATCAGATGGGAAAGTAGCAAAGAAGCCCACTAAGCTCAGCAAACAAACAACGCAGACGGCACAATTAGCAACAAACATCTCAGTAAATCCTCAATGACTTGTGAGAGGCAACATATTTCATAATTTTCCTTTTGCGAAACTACTTTTCAATAATTTCATTTGCCATTTTGTTGTCACAAGCAATAGAACATAAATTATTTTGTGCCTCTCAAGGGGGCAGGCTTTGGGGGTGGGTGGGAAATTTGGGACAATGGTGGAGAAAATGTCCCACTGGTGGTGGGATTGGGTGTTAGAACATTAATGAAAAGCCTAAAACAACTGTATGATGGACAACTTTGTAAACCATGGTGTTAAATAAATTTTAAAAAAGTAAGTCTTCACTGAAGATGGAGCAAGCCATGAAGGTAAGTTTAGACTGAAGGTCCTGGAATGTGGAGAGTCGAGACTCAAAAAGCAGCACCCTTGGTCCTTCAGGGAAAGTGAAGCTAAAGGGCGGTGAGTGAGATAAGTGATGGCTCTGTGAACTGGCAACACTACCTGGACCCTGATCACTGGAGAGTCAACTCTGTAGGAATGCCTGCCTCCAGGTCTGAACAAGGCGGGGAAGATGAGTGTAATTGTTTTGATGGATTCTGTTTTGGGGGTGGGGGCTGTCCATAGTATACTTGGGGGAGAAAGAAACGAAGTGGGGCTTAGGGAGGGGCTTGGACGGAAGTGTGTGAGGTGTCCTTGGTGGTTGTTGTTTTAAATATATTTAGAGAATCACTGTGAACCACACAGTTACAAAGTTGTTCATGATTGGGTCTCAATGTTCCAATTTACAATGTCCCAATACCCATCCCTCCACCAGTGTAAATTTCTCAGCACTAGTGGTCCAGTTCTGCCTCCCTCCCCCAACACAACTCCCTGGCCCCACACAGCCTGCCTCTATAGCAGGCATCTCTTTTTTCTTTCTCTCTCTCTCTCTCTCTCTCTCTCTCTCCCTCCCTCCTTCCCTCCCTCCCTCCCTCCTTCTCTCTCTCTCTCTCTCTCTCTCTCTTTCTCTCTCTCTCTCTCCCTCCTCTTCCCACCTTATTGGGCGTTATGGTTTGCAATACAGATGCTGAAAGGTTATCATGTATATCCTTTTACCTACTTTCAACACTCGGTGTGTGAGTAGCCTTGTTCCTCAACCCAAGGATTCTGGGCCAAAGAGATGGATCAAAGGGCTGGAGACCAGGGTTGGGGATTCTGGAGATAAAAGCTCACACTTCCTGCCCCGAGACTGCAATCTACATCCAATGTATGAGGACCCTAATTTAGTACTTCTTACACAACACATTTCATGGCCAGAACTCTCTCATTCACTCAGACTTATTTTATCTATAAGTAAACTTTTATTTAGTTTAGGGCTGGAGTGATAGCACAGTGGGTAGGGTGTTTGTCTTGCATACAGTCGACCAGGGTTCGATTCCTCTGTCCCTCTCAGAGAGCCTGGCAAGTTACCCAGAGTATTCTGATGGGGCTCATGGGACCCTAGGAGATGCAGGGAATTGAACCCAGGTTGGCTGGGTGCAAGGCAAGCACCTTATCTATCTATCTATCTGTCTGTCTGTCTGTCTGTCTGTCTGTCTATCTATCCATCTGCTGTACTATGGCTCTGGCCCCTACTGTTTACTTGAGAGGCTGATCTTTCAAAACAATTCCACCTGTGGGAAGATTTTGAATTTCACCCCTTTCAGGCTCAACACACCCTGTTCACTTCACTCCTCACAAGGCTGCTTGCCCTGATGACCCCTGACTGGTCACTCACAAGCCATGGCGGGATTGGTGGGATTGGTGGTGGGATTGGGTGTTAGAACATTAATGAAAAGCCTAAAAACTAGGGCCTGTTGTGTGCAAGGCCTGAGCCTTAACCTGGGTGCCATCGCTCTGGCCTCCAGCAGTTTGTTGTCTTTGCCTCCAGACAGTCTGGACACTTCAGACTGTCTGGACACTTCTTTAACCGAGAACCCCAATAGAACCCCACCTCCCACCCCTCCCAATTCCTGTGAGGCAGATGAGTTCTAGTTAATACTCTATCTACTTTGACTAGATACATTGTTTCGATAGAAGATGCACAATTATTGTTTAGAGTTTACGACCCCCCCCCCCCCCTTAGACATGCTGAAACAGGGTTGTGAAATGATTTGCTTTCTACAGCTGGGTTTAAGAATAAAATGATGTCCCGCGCGGTTTTGTATTTCTGCTATTTTACTTATTAACCCTGGAAGTATTTCTATTTAAAAGTTAGATAGTTAAGAGATTGGTTTCTGTGCTCTGGAGTCGTGGCTGTGCCGGAGAGCCGCTCGTGGGGGGCAGCTGGTGACCTCGGTCGGGCGTGAAGTACGGCCCAGAACGACCCCCTTCCCATGAGGTCCCTGCTGCCCCCACCCCCGGCTCAAACCTGCTGTCCACAAGGCTCCCGTGCGGCCACCATCTTTCTTTCCAGAGAGGATTGGGCGAATGGAGCAACACCCTTTCCCCTCCAGGCAGGCATGCTGGCGCGGTTTAACACATAGTCCATTTGTTTTTCTGCTCCAAGCGGGTCAGCCCCTTACTTCTGACTCTGTACTCAGGACTCGCTCCTGGCAGGGTTCAGGAGACCACAGAAGATATCATGGATCAAATGGGGTTGGGTGTGTGCAAGGCAAGTGCCCTCCCCTCTGTACTGCCACTTGGGCCCACCCTAGGAGGCATCTTTCCCGATGACTCCATCCTGACCCTGTTCTAAACACTCCCCAGGCTTCTCGGGGTAGAAGAACGTTTCTCCTGCTCTCCACTCCTGTCCCTGTCTCTTCCTCCATCACCTCCTGCCTCTCTCCCTGCACAGCCTCGGCTCTGCCCGGTCTTGGTGGATGAGGGAAGCAAGTGAAGGCAAGAGGATGGTGGAAAGGCAGGAAATAAAAACCGGATTTTGTTTTTGTTATTATTTGGGGGCCAGTAGTGCTCAAGGCTTACTCCTGGCTCTGTGCTCAGGGATCATTCCCAGTAGTGCTCCGGGGACCATATATGGTTCCAGGGGATCAAACCTGGCAAATGCCCTATCCCTGTGCTATTTCTCCGGTCCCCAGGATTTTTTTCCGGCGGGGGTGGGGAGGTGGGGTGGGGGGCTCTCCAGCTGTGCTAAGGGTCTATTAAATTCTTAAAATTATTTTCTGAGTACTGATATCTTTTCATGTCATTTTTTGGAAAACTGTGTATGGATCATATAGGGAGGTAGAGAGAACAAAGTGATCCTAATGCATTGTATTAGAGTTGATTGGTACTCAATGGTACCATTCACACACAAATCACAAATCATCCTGTTAATTGTCGATTGCCTCGAGCAGGCCCCAGTAACGTCTCCTTCATCCTAGCCCTGAGATTATATTCAAGGCTCTTTAGGAGAATGAGACCCATCATTGTTACTGGTATTTGGCATATTGGGTACGCCACAGGGAGTTTGCCAGACTCTGCCGTGTGGGCAGGCTACATTCGGTAGCCTGCCAGTTTGTCCAAAGTAGGAATGAGATAATAAGATGTCATAATAAGATGTTGCGCGGCCCTAATAAGTAAGGCGCGAATGCGGCCGCGCGGTTCTGGGAGCTAGTTTTTATAGTCTCTGAGTCTTGGCTGCTGATGGGATTACACGGCGCCAGGGGGCCAGTTGGTGGGTGTGACCCCCGCCTACTGGAATTT